ACTTGTTACTACGATTTAAATTAAGTTTCTTTTTTTTTTGCTTAAATAATACTCGTGAGAAAATATCGACGAACAAATGAAAGAAAGAAATTAAAATTGAATTATTTGATTACGGCTGGTCCGTGAAAAAGAATCGTTTTTTTTCTTTTTTCTTTTTCTTATTCTTTTCAATCCGATAATTTTCGACGTATCTTCAAACCTTTATCAATGAAGTGAAATTTTAAAAGAATTTCTAAAATTATTTCAACGAGTTCGAGCGTAAATACGATGAACGGTGCGCATCATTATAAATGTTAATTTATGTAAAAATAAAAAAGAAAAAAAGAAAAAAAAAAAAGAAAAAAAAAGAAAGAAAAGAAAAAATAAAAGGAAAAAGAAGACGGAGTTTCCATGAAACTCCATGTAAAGTTAATCGCATTCTTACAGATTAGATCAGATCGCTCGAATGTTATCGACGTAATTAAGTCGATGAATTATAATCGATAGATAGATCATTCGACGGAAAGGTATCATTGTTCGAATTAAGATATATATTTGTTTTGCTATACGAATTATTGTTTATCGCGCGACATCGCTTACATATATAACTTTGTCAACTAATGATCAAAGTGATATCGTTTATTAATTATTAATTATGATTTATAAAGCTTAAGTTAATTAGCGAGTATACAATTTCACGAAATATTATTAAACGTGAATACATTGGAAGCAGGTTTAACAAGATACGTTAACAAAAATGTTTTCCTATTATTAAACGTTAAAAATACTATTAGTGAATCTTATTCAGTCCTTTTTCTTTTTTTTTTTTCTTTTTTTTTCTTCCATTAAATTATTCCTTTTTCATTTTAATTTATTTCAATTTATTTTAATTTTCTTTTTCTTTTAATTTTTTTTTGTCTTTTTTTTTTCTTTTTTTTTTTTTTTTAAGTTTTCCATTTTATTCCAATTTAAAGACTTGTTAAACCTGACTACCGAGAATAAATACATCGTTCTATTAACTTGAGTTACATCCCTCCCCCACCTGATTCGATATTCTCTATGAAACGATGATTTTTGTCCCATTAGAAGAATATACGGATCACGTGACAAGGAGGTGATGATAATATACATGAATTTACTTTACAGAGAATAGTATATTTTGCGCTAGATTATATTATATATATATATATATATATATATATATATATATATATATATATATAATATAATTATATTATATTATATTATATATATATAAGAAGAATTATAATTCGTTATAATTTATGAAAGAGAAAAAAAGAAGAAGGCACATATAATTTATGAAAGAGAGGAGAAAGGAAAATGAAAGGAAAGAAAAAAAAAAGAAGAAAAGAAAAAGAACAAGAAAAAATAACATATAATAATGATCATCGCGCTGTGTCTTATTTTTATTATCGTTAAAACATACACACGATCTGAATGACTTGTTAATGACATTATAAGTATAAATAAGTAAGTATTCGAACGAGATAATGTTCAAGGAAATAATGTTTACTACGTTTTACGAGTTTTATATTTTTGCGTTGCAAGAAAAAGATATCGAATAAAACTTTTCAAGATAATAAATATTTTTAATCGAAAATGATGTACTTCTTTTTCTTTTTTTTTTTTTTTTTTTTTTTAATATTTGACTTTTATTCGTGTCTTCCAGTAAAATTAATTGTAATGAATCAATTAATCAATTAATCAATTAATCAAAAATAATCGATGGAGTGACGTAAGACGTGGGAAAACATTGTTCACATCTCTAATTTCGATCCTAAACTGCCTCTACTATATAATAAATGTTATTTTTAAAAATATTTTAAGGTTGGATATTATTATAAAAACAACAAAAAAGAAAAAAAGGGAAATTAAGATAAGAAAAGTATCATAGGTTCGTGCAGGCACACCATGATAAACTGCGATGAACTTTTTGTGTATCGAAGTATCACATTTCTTATTGGATTTATTTGATTTCATTTTGCAATAAATACAACAATTACACGTCTTTGTTTGTTTTTTGTTTATTTTCTTTTGCTTTCTTTCTTTCTTTCTTTCTTTCTTTCTTTCTTTTTCTTTTTCTTTTTCTTTTCTTCTTTTTTTTTTTCTTCCTTTCACCACACTTTTATTAATCTACCAGTATCATAATTTCTCTTTCCATTGATATCGATCTAATTTTATTCTATCACGGATTAAATTTAATTTATAAAATTAATCCCAATTTAATCAATAGATATGCAAATTTTGTTTAATTTTACTAATTATACCTGATTATTATTTGCCACATTAAGAATTGAAAAAAGAAAATATTTTATAAAATGTCACAAACTGTATAAACGAATATACCATGTAAAATCTTTTTCATTTTCGATCGATCGCAACCAATCGAATTCAATATTTAACGCGATGAGATATCTCTCTGTATATATTGTAAATTTACTTGTAAAGAAACAGACAAGGGGAAAAAAAAGAGAGAGGAAGAAGAAGAAGAAGAAGAAGAGAAAGAAGAAGAAAAAGAGAATGAAACAAGAGGAAGAAGTAATTTTAAACAATCGCTTGACCAAATAAAAATAAGATAACACGAGACGGGAAATGTATAATAAGAAATTTTCAAACCTTGGCCGATTCATTATTGCGAACCTTAAATGGATTGTAAAATGTATCATCTAAAATAAATTAATATGAGCGTTTTAAATACGATGCTTAAAGAGAAAGGGAAAAGGAATGAATAAATAAATAAATAAATAAATAAATAAATAAATAAATAAATAAATAAATTGATTGTTGTGCCAAAAAGTATCGATCGGTCAAAAAAAATAGTTTCATACGATATATATGATTGTTAGCGTTAATGATAATACACGTCACGTTAACTTTTTCAATCATCTAATCGTACGCCCTCTATTGCACTATATAAATAAATAATTAAATAAATAAAAAATAAATAAAAAAAAAAAAATATATATATATATTTGTATAAATAGCGATAGACGATTTTTATGTAAAAAGATACATAGAGTACATTGTAAATGTTTCTCATTTCTTTTTTTTTTTTTTTCTTTCCTTTTTTTTTCTCTTTTCTTTTTAATACACTTTCTGTCGATTATTTTTCTTACAAAATGATTTGATGAGAGAACATTTTCAAAAGATCTATGACTCATATATGCGAATTAGTGATTAGTTCTTTTTAAGGAGGAAAAAAAATAATAATATACTTGCACCTCGAAGTTTAAAAAAGTATTACACCTTTTTAACAATGCGTATGTAAAAGCGTAAGAATTAATTATAAAACAAACGATAATATCATTATAATTTAAATGAAAGGAACTTTTTACATAAACTTTTTAGATACTTCTAATTCTATTATAGGATCCTTGCTTCTCTATCGTTCTAATCAAAAAGCTTAGAAAAAACAATTTATTTTTCATTTCTTTATTTTTCATTTATTTCATTCAATTAACGAAATATCTAATAGACATGTACAAATCCGCTAATAGAAATAATAATCACGAAGCTTTCTGTGTTTTTAAACGATCTTTGTAAGTGTAGGATTTAGAGATCGATAAAATTGAACGGCTGTAAAAGGAGTAAAAAGAAAGAAAAAAGGAGAAAAAAAAAAGAAATAAAGAAAAAAAAAAACAAAATAATAATAATAAAGCAAAAAAAGAAATTGAGAAAAATTTCTCTCGTTAGAATAGAAAAATGAAATGTTTTAATAGAAAAATAATCTAATTTATAAGCTCGAGTGTATTGTTTTTTGCAGATCGTTTATAAATTAACACACACTCGTGTACATACATATATATATACATTTATAAACACACTAACACATATTAACACAAAATACATTAACATTAATCCTATTATAAAATCGTTTACATATATGAAAGTAGAAAATAGGAATTGCGTTCTGTACACATTATCATATTTTATAATAATAGTTGTACATAATAAGAGATAATCTTTCTCTTTTTTCTTGAAGAAATCGATATGTAACTATTTTCAAAATATTATTAAACTAAAAATAAGTTTTTTCATTTAAGTCATAATAGAGATATTAATAGACTGAGAAAAGTTTAATTATTTTAATCGAAGAATCTTTAATGAACCATACCCGGTTATTTTTATGATAAGATAAAAATGTTCAAAAGGTATTCAATGCTTATCGATAAGTTTAAGTAAAGCCATTTGGTTTTCTTAAATTTAACAAAAAAATAAGGACTAAGTAATTCGTACATATATATATATATGTACATACACATACATATTTATAAATATTTATGTATTCCAAACACTGCCATTGTGTTCTTTGCTTTTTTAACAACTCGAGCATTTAATTCTACAGCTAATACGAACTTATAAATATGTAATATACATAAATAATGCGTATAATAGTAAGTGTATTGTTCATTGTAATTCACCAATTGTAAATATGGCCATTTACTTTTCTCGTTATGGCCGAGAAAAAGATTTCTGTAATGTTTTTATGGCGGAAAAAAAAAGATTAAAAAAAAAGCAAAAAAAAAAAGAAAAAAAAAAATAAATAAAAAAAGAAAACGTACTATTTGTACCCATCGACGTAATAAATAAATAAATAAAGAATTATGATAATTGACATTTTGTTTTGACAAGTTATCGATCGAGAAAATATATTTTAATTAAAATTTTCAATTCCATCGAAAGATCATAATATATAAATAATTTTGTTAAATTTTATTTTAATATTAATTAATATCCATTACACACAGATACACACGTAGATACGTTTAAATATGTATATATATAAAATTAAATGACGTTATCAATATTATAAAGTTCTTCGGATATATATTTGATATAACGAATGTCGGCAAGTTACCGACACCTCAAATATTTTGTTATCCTTCGATTTAACAAATTTATTTATTTATTTAATTAATTAATTAATTATCAGTCATAAAAAAGTATAACGCATAAACGCAAAGTTATCTATGTAATAAACCAGAATTTTATGTTTCATAATAGAAAATAACATTCGTTACGAACAACGTACGAGTAAAATTGTTAACTTGTCCACGTATTATCCAAGTCAATGAAATCGCAAGGGAAATTAGGGAGTTCAATTTTGCTCGCGTGAACAATTACAAACTTTAGCTCAACGAATAAAATTTAATAACCATCATGTCACTAGGGTGACCATATATACATACAGACGTACATACATACATACATACATACATAGAAACATGCTACGTATTGTTCAACTTTACAAAAGTAAATTTTAAACGGATAGAGTTTGGAGATAATTTACATAAAAAAAAAAAAAGAAAGGGAAGAAGAAACAGAAAGAAAGAAAAAAGAGATACGTCAAACAGAATAATTTATCATTTACTTTTGATTCAAAACAATGATCTCTACGGTTTACATGATATATAATTCGCTTATCTATTATTCATGAGTCTACGAAGAAATAACTCAATGATTTTACACATTATCTATTAGGAAATTCATCAAAGCTAAGATAAGCGATAACGTTTGAAAGGAAATTTATGAACGATATATTAAGTTTAAACGGATTCATAAAAGAGATATAAAATCGATCTGTTTAGAAAGAAGTAGATCGGGATAAAGACGTCTGGTAAGAAAAGATATGTAAATGTGAATATTTTTATGTATGAATTATGTATTTGCCTATCATCTACTGTGTTATGTTAAAGAGAGAGAGAGAGAGAGAGAGAGAGAGAGAGAGAGAGAAGAGAGAGAGAAAGAGGGAGATTACTCGAATATATGAAAAATAATAAATATGAAAATATAAAAACGCATTTCGTAAAAAAAGGATCATCAAGATGTTACAGATCGGTCGAATCGATAATGTAGTTGCTCATACGATCAACTAAAATATATGCCTGTATATTACCAACATAAGATAACGTTGATTGGTTGATAACAATAATAGTAGGAGATAACTATAGCTTAGAAGATTAGAGAAAAATACTTTGTCAACGTGTGATAGACAACGAATCAATATTTTTTTTTTTCTTTTTTTTTTTCATTTGTCAAATATTAAAAATGTCTCTAAGATGCAATTCGATTTTATTCAATTTCTACGTTTAACTCAGACTTGCAAAATTACTCTCGTAATAATACTATTGATAATGTGTTAAATCATTCATAAATGTTCAGACAGCATGCTTATATATATATATATATATATATATATATATATATATATATATATATATATATATTACATATACAGAGTTGTTTTGTGTGTGTACGTAGGCGCGTATAACATCTTTATGTAAGATTTATTTCATTCAAATGAGCATGAATAGATCATTTATATAATTCATTAGAATCTTATCGTTTTATTGTATTATGTTATTTATCGACATAAAATGTCAATTCCACGTTATTCCTCTACCCTATTACAGCATTTAAATTATTAATTAAGTAGTTTATACTTTATGGGATGAAAAAGAGAGAGAGATAGAGAGAGAGAGAGAGAGAGAGAGAGAGAGAGAGAGAGAGACAAAAATAGAGATAAATTACAGACTTTAGAATGTGGTTACTATTCGATAATTTAATTGAATGAATCGTGATTGAAACCTTTGTAACTAATTACCGGTTAACTTTTCATTATAATTCGAGCATAAATATAGGGAGAAGCGACGTAGACAGACAGAGAGAGAGAGAGAGAGAGAGAGAGAGAGAGAGAGAGAGAGAGAGAGAGAGAGAGAGAGAGAGAGAGTTACACCGTACACTTTGTATAAATATTCGTATTTATTTTCACATGGGAATTATTCCCAACGGAGATAAATAAATTATATTGTTATTCAAGTTACGATTCGTTAAGTCAAACGTACGAATTGAAATATATTAATATTTTTCTATTCCATTTTTTATTGTACGAAAAATAAAAAATAATTTCTTTTTTTTCCATTACAAAGTAAAACCTTGTAATTCTTTAATGTTTTTCTTTCTTTTCTTTTCTTTTTTTCGTTTTCGTTTTCTTTTTCTTTCTTTCTTTCTTTCTTTCTTTCTTTCTTTCTTTCTTTCTTTCTTTCGTTCTTTTTTGCTTTCTTTCTTTCTTTTCTTCTTTTCTTTTCTCCAACTCGAGGAAAGAATTAAACCATTTTGGAATGGATGAGAATAGTGAAAAAGAAAATAAGGGAATTTTCGTAGTTACGTACTATGCAATCGAGTTATTTCTTTTGCGTAAGGGGAAAGAAAAAAGGCCGAGAGAAAATAATGAAAAATCAAAATGAAATAAAATGAGTAAAAATCCTTTGTGTAGTCTCGAAAAACGAAGTAAGTCCTTTTTATTTTCTCTCTCTCTCTCTCTCTCTCTCTCTCTCTAATCCTTTGATTCAAATCATTAGAGAAATAGAAAAAGATTTAGTTTCAACGATATTTCTTTTTTTCCTTTTTCGCTTTTCATTCTTGTAATGTAATTCGTTAAGAAGCTTTATTTGAATCATCTACGACTCAAAAATAATCCCATATAAATCTTCAAATATA